CTGCTCTTGTGGGGAGAGAGGAATGGATAACTATATGAGATAATGAATATGTGCATTTGTTTCACTATAGCAACCATTTTACTATATACCTTAATACACACAATAAAATGTATTAAAAAAAAAATGGCCAGGCATGGTGGCTCACACCTGCACTCTGGGAGGTCAAGGTGGGAGTATTGCTTGAGCTCAGGAGTTTGAGACCAGCCGGAGCAAGACCATCCCCCACCTTCTCTACTAAAAATACAAAAATTAGTTGGGAGTCGTGGCACGCCTGTAGTCCCAGCTACTTGGAAGGCTGAGGCAGGAGGATCGCTTGAGGCCAGGAGTTTGAGGTTGCAGTGAACTATGATGACACCACTGCACTCTAGCCCAGGCAACAGAGCGAGACTCTGTCTCAAAATAAATAAATAATAAAAAATGCAATATGAAGGTTTGGGATTAAGCCTTCACTCAAAAACAAAAAAGGCCCAAAGTGGTAATAGTCTTTATAAGGTAGTCCCCTATTGTTGGCTCCACGTCCCCTATCAGATGTGTTTTCTTTTCCTCCAATATTCGAAGAAAGCCCATGGACAGCAGCTTGTTTCTGAGCAAACCACTGCCTTAAATGGTCCAGCAAGGGAAGTAGAGGGGAGCAGGCCTGCACTGCTGGAGGGCTAGCCGGCAGTTGGCCCCTCGCTGCTTGTGACTTTCTCTTCTTCTCCATTAAGTGACCTCACCACAGAACTGTCTATGGCTGCCTGGTATCTTCACCCCAGGTATTGCTGTCAGGAAATGAAATCAGCCTCCCCCTCACTGTCAGCTCCCTCCTGTCCTTCTCCTGGCTCATCAGAGAGGCCCTCATGCTCTCCCAGATTAGTCTGGTGCTAAATTGCAAGATTTAAGGATATGCTCTCTCTAAGCTTTCAGTTTCCTCAAATGCTAAACAGGGATAATAGTTGTACCCTCCCTTACAGGACCATGAGACAATACACATGTCATTCTTGGCAGAAAGAATGGTACGGAGTAAGTACCAAAAAGTGTCATCAGCCTCATCATTCTATCATCAGCAGCCTCAATCTTTAAAAACAAACAAAAAAAGAGCAGGCACAGAAAAGAGTGCTCTGGCTCTAACTTAAAAGATATGATTTGCTTAAAGATATGATTCAACCTCCTCAAACTTCCTGCACCCCAGCTAATTAGTTATACCGTGGGGCCTCCCCAGCCTGGGAGCAGATAGCAGCTAATTCAGGGCTGCAATGAGACCAGGGCACATCTGACCAGCAAGGATGAGCAGGGTCTCCCTGGCTCTTGGAGGCAGTCAAGTTGCAGGCAGTCAGAACCCTCTCAACTAGAGATGCTTTCCTTCCTCAGCAATGTCATTTTCTTTAAAAGCACGCTCGTTTTATTTATGTAGTCTTAACCATGGTTACTCTGCCTCACCAACTAATCAAGAGTTCATTACTGTACCCAGAACAGTCCTTTGCAAATGTAGGTGCTCAGGAGAAACACTATATCTTGGGCTATTCTCCTCCTACTTAGAATATGTACCAAATACACAGACCCCCTCACACTAAGTATTATAATGGACATTTCTGGAAGAAAAAAAAAAAAAGATTAAATCTATACTTCGGTTTTCAAATTCATTTAAACTCAAACCTCAATACCACCTAAAGAATTTACAGAATCTTGAATTTCACCAAAATTTCACCAAATTCTGATTGAAACCAGAATTTAAACTAACAGAATTCACACTTTAAAAAGTTCCATGTGAAAGAATTCTATGTCCTGAAAGATGGCTACCTTAGTCTTTGATACATCCATTCATTTGCAACTTGGTGAGGCACCACCTTCTGCAGAAAGCATTCCAGAGTAAAGGACATAACCTCTCACTTGCCCGCCCATACCTCACAAAAACTTCTATTAATAGATTACTGCTTGGTGGTCCTTGCTTTGATTTGTCCCACATCTATTCCCACCTCTTCTGCTAACGACACCCCGATTCTCCTTCAGGGAAACCACTCCTCCTAAATGCCAATCCAGGTGGCTTCCCCTTCTTCTTAGCTCCAGTGACCCAGATCTGGCCAATCAGCGTATTCTACCCCCCTCTTACCGGCCACAACGATTGGCTCAGGAATAGGCACATGACCCAACTCCAAGACTCTTTCTTATCGGAACAACATGGGAAAAGGCGGGTCTTCTCACTAGGACTGCTGGCTGTAAGGGTAGTATGAGGTTGCAGCCACCAGAAGTGGCTGGCTGGCTGGTGGGTTACACGCAAAGACACAACCTAAGGATGAAGCCAACAGAGAAGAAAATGGAAAGACTTCAAAGTCTACCTCTGGAATTTTCAGATACATGAGCCAAAAAATTCTTTTTTCCTTAAGTTTCTGGAATTTGGAAGCAAACCACACACACTAATAAACCATTGCTCCATTTATTTTGTCACATGTCCATCTCCCTCTACTAGATCATAAACCCTAAAGAGCAGAAACCAGGTTTTATTATCTTTCTATCCCCACAATCTAGCAGGAGACCTGGCTTAAGAATGCTCAATACATATGCAGTACTGGGTTCTGTGGGAATTTTCCTATAACCAACTCTCTGTTTCAACAAATGCTTCATATGCACCCTGTTCAGCCACTTAACAAAACTAACAGTATCTTTAAAAAGGACCTGATGGTGGGCTGGTGATACACACCCATGTTAAATAAAGTACTGCATTCTTCCTTTCTTCCTACTAAAAGGCAATCACTTCTTAATTCTTTATATACACCCCCAACCTCAAACATATCAAAAAAAAAAAAAAAAAAAAAAACAACAACAAAAAGCCACCAAAGTTTCCAAAGCGCTGGCACCAAAACACCATCGCATGAAAAGGGCGAAGTAACTATGGCAGGAAGGCAAAGCGAGCAGAGGCTATAGCTCCCCTGGGTGCAGAGGTTCTCAGCCCGCGCTCCTCACCTGCCGGGGCTGTGATGCTCCGAACGCTCACGTGCGTTTCTCTAAGCAGAGGAGCCACAACTTGGTGACATCCTCCAAGGGATCTGATATTCCAGAAAAGTTAAGCAGCACTACTCTAAAGAGTACAACAAGCATTCCTCACATTTCATTTCTCTTCTCCTGCTAATTCAGTTAAACGAACATTATTTAGGGAAAAGACCAGAAATAATCCAACTGGAGTTCTTTTATCCATGAAAGATAAAGAGTCTCCAAAGAACAAGCCAACATAAAAATCAAAGCTTTGGTTAAATCTGGCCTCTAATGGGAAGAGGGAATAATTTTCTAAGAGTCATTTGTCCCTACTGGGACTGACCAGTGACAATCAGTGAATACCTGGCTGGAGGGAGGGAAAAGAGCTTCATCTTCACCCTGCCAAGAGCCCACCAACCTGGCACAAAATGGCCAGCCTACCTGAAATGAGGAAATGGCATTTTTTTATAATAGTGGAAAACAGGAAACTAAACATTCATTCAAAAAACGACTACTTCGATATTACAGCAAAAGATGATAGAATCAAGATGATTCATTAAACAAATATTTACTGAGCAACTATGTGCCAGAAGTCTGTTAGGAAGTGGAGACACAATAGCAAATCAAAAAGCTCTAGCGATACACGCCTAAACTCAACATGGTAAAATCTCCGTGACAATGACACAAGGAGTACAAAAAGCAAAAGAATATGTGAAGCACAATTCCATTAACATATACACACACATATGTACAATACCTGTGTATGTAAAAATACATGTACAAAACAGTGGAGGAAATGCAACTCTATTAACGTAAACATGTATGCATCCAAAGAGGGCTGAAACAATAGTCACTAAAATGTTACCCGTGGTCATCTCTAGAGGGGGGAATTTGGATAATTATTTTTATCTTCTTTATAGCACTTCCATATCATTTGCATTTGGGCAGTGAACACATAATAGTATTTGTATGTTTAAAAGTTTTTGAAATATCACACAAAAACCAATCACACACCAACAGAAGGCATGTAGATAAAATGAGATCTGGTACATGAAAGTACTCTGAAAAATTAAAAGACTAATACCTAATATAACTTTTTGAGAGAGGAGAGATTGATAAGTTACAGGTCTTTATTTTTAATAATGAAATTATAATGGCTCACCCTGCTACTATCCAGTATAACAATGGATAAGGACACTGGCTTTCACCCCAGATGGTCTGGGTTCAAATTTTACCTCTGCCGACTGGCTATGTTACTTTGGGTAAATTGCTTGATCTCTCTGTGTCTCAGTTCCCAAAACCATAAACTGAGGAACATAAGAAGTCCTACCTCACGGAGTTGTTATGAGGATTAGATGATGACAACAACAGTGGTGGTGATGTCGGAAGAGAAGCAGGAGGTCGAGCTGCTCAAGATCTACTACCCACGGACAAGGAGCATTGTCTGAAAACACCTCTGAGTACAAGGCTGATCCAAACCCTTCTGGCCCTTCTTTGAACCCATTCCTCTAGTACCAGCAAGGTCCACCTCTCCGGGGCATCAGGAGCATCTAGCAAACTCTTGTTCATCACTCACCAGTTTACCCACCTCCCAGCCAGTATAACTGACATCCATGTAACGCCCTCCCCTACTTCCATGCCCACAGGGACGCCACTTTCCTAGCCTTAAAGGCCCTCTGTTCTATGACAGACGGGCTTCTTTCCTTCCCTCTGTGCTGCTCGTTAAGTCTTACGCAAGTAGATCCTTCTGGTTCTAATTAGTGTTTCCTATTCTATCCTATTGATCTCAGTGCCTGGATTGGTCTGTGAAATATATGGATGTATGAGGCTTATTTCTCCTCCCTACCACTTCTGCCTTAAACTCTGATTTGGATTTGCGTTCTTAGAAAACCATCTACCCATCCATCCATCCATCTAACCACCCACTCACTCACCATCTATCCTTTAGTGAATAACAGTAAGAAACCACACACTGTGCTAGGTGCTGGGCCAGGGAGGGTGTCTGAGACTAGTAGGAACCATCGCACTATCAAAAGTTAAACTGAGGCGGAACTTTCCAGAACGCTCGGTGAGAGGCGGAGGAGCAGCGGCTGCTCAAGCTGCGCACAGATACGCGCTCCTTCCCGCTCCTCCACGTCGGCCTCAGCCCGCTCACCGGCTGTAGAAAATGGTGAAAGAAACCACTTATTATGATGTTTTGGGGGTCAAACACAATGCCACTCATGAAGAGTTGAAAAAGGCTTATAGGAAACTGGCCTTGAAATACCACCCTGATAAGAATCCAAATGAAGGAGAGAAGTTTAAACAGATTCCTCAAGCCTACGGAGTTCTCTCTGATGTAAAGAAGAGGGAACTATATGACAAAGGAGGAGAACAGGCAATTAAAGAGGGTGGAGCAGGTGGCGGTTTTGGCTCCCCCATGGACATCTTTGATATGTTTCTTGGAGGAGGAGGAAGGATGCAAAGAGAAAGGAGAGGTAAAAATGTTGTACCTCAGCTCTCAGTAACCTTAGAAGATTTATATAATGGTGCAACAAGAAAACCGGCTCTGCAGAACAATGTGATTTGTGACAAGTGTGAAGGCCGAGGTGGTAAGAAAGGAGCAGTAGAGTGCTGTCCCAATTGCCGAGGTACTGGAATGCAAATAAGAATTCATCAAATAGGACCTGGAATGGGTCAACAAATTCAATCTGTGTGCATGGAGTGCCAGGGCCGTGGGGAACGGATCAGTCCTAAAGACAGATGTCAAATCTGCAACGGAAGGAAGATAGGTCGGGAAAAGAAGATTCTAGAAGTTCATATTGACAAAGGCATGAAAGATGGCCAGAAGATAACATTCCATGGTGAAGGAGACCAAGAACCAGGACTAGAGCCAGGAGATATTATCAATGTGTTAGATCAGAAGGACCATGCTGTTTTTACTCGACGAGGAGAAGACCTTTTCATGTGTATGGACATACAGCTGGTTGAAGCATTATGTGGCTTCCAAAAGCCA